AACTGTTAAAATACATAATGTATTATAAACAATAGAGCTAATGTACATTACGCATTACAACAAAGGCCTGCAGAAGGCACCAACGGCCTGATGATTATTTTTACACATTGCTGTGCGATCTAATGCTTGTTTAATATTGTCCAAGCACCATTTCATTCAAATGTCCACTTAATCTTTATTTTTGGCCATTTCTTTAGGACAGAAATGCTATAGCCACTGTAATTAAATGAATATGTAGACAACAAAACGTGTAAAAAGTGAGGGTTTGAGCTTTTATTTTGAAGCCGCGATGTATTCTCCTGAGTTTGCGTAGCCACTGTGTGACGCACGTACTTAACCTACACGCATGTAAATAATTAAAGCGCATATACTGTATTAGAACTGCATCGCATATAATTATTTAATTAAATTGTAGCGTTTTATGCTTAATTATGATTTTTAAATGGGTTTAATATATCATGCAGCCTTGGGGAATGTGTAATAATGTGTTTTATGGAATCTTTTCCGTGAAATGCGTCACTTCTGGTATTTTGCCAGTTAGTCGACGCAAGCAAAATGAAGTCGAGGATTTTTAAAAATCGAATAGTCTAATAAAATCAACGAATCGCGACAGCCCTAAATACGTCTTTTGAATATACTGTGTAAACTCATTGCCCCGTTAGCTCGGAGAGCATCCATGATCATTCAGACATGATTAGGTGCAGTACTGACACTTTGTACTACTCCGTAATCACAGGTAAACGGTCTGATCACTCAGATGTTTGTCTTGAGAAGTGTTCCACAAAACAGCTATGGTTTGCAGACAGTTATAAGAGTTGATGTTACAAATACATCTTTTAAATATACTGTGTGAACTTTATTCCCTCCTCAATAAGTTTTGTCAGTTGTTTTGTTTATTGGTCTAATTCTTGTTTCTTGGGTTGCATTGGTCAGTCACTCAATTAATTATATTGTGCTTCATTCCCCACTTCTGAATTGTTGTATTGATAAGGAGTTATCACAAAGTAAGTCTGTTTAGTTGTGCTATCTTACAATCAATATATAGTAAATGTAGGTTAAAGTGTTGCCGTTGTAACCGGTTAAAACTTGGACTGGCGATGAGGTCTTAATGTATGGAAAGAGTCTTAAAAAAGGTCTTAAATGGTATTAAATTTAACTCCATGATTCCTGTATATACCCCAAAATGCGCATGACAATCGCATTCGATTAATCATGCAGCCCTACCCTGTACAACAAAGAATATTGTTTACATGTAGCGCGTCAATTCTCTCTCTCTCTCTCTCTCTCTCTGCGTGTGTGTGAGACAAAGCGACGGCGAGAGTAAACTAGAGTTTACAGTACGTCAAATACAGGTGCACTGCACATCATTCAGATGAACTGAAAAATTGCAGAGATCGCTTGACAGAGAGTGAAACTCTGAAGTGCTCAGTCAGAGTGTTCAGCGAGTGAAAATATATCTGTGCTAAACTTATACTTAGCCTCCAACTCACACACTGGCAAGTAAAATCTGAGAATTTATTAGCCATTGGCTAATATTAGACATCATTTAGTCGCCCAGAGTGAAGATTTAGTCGCATATGCGAGTGATTTACTCGCAATGTAGAGGGTTGGCACAGAAAATAAACAAATTACAAGCATAGATAAATATAATAATACAACAAAGATACAAATGAAATAAAAACTGCTTTATATTTTTCAGGTAAGTCTAACAGTATTCAGGTACAGAAACAGAATAATCAAATGTAAAATAACACTGCATAGTCTTCACAGTAAAAATTTAATTAATAAATCTGTGTTAAAGCTACAAAAGTGATGTTTCTCTGTTTTGTTGTTTGATTAACATTCATGACATAGAAAGCAACAGGAACATTAAACTGCTGTGAACCAATATACTGTTACACATCCATTTTCTTTCTCAGTTGCTTACCTTCACCTAAGCCATAAGCAACTGTGTTCACAAGGATACTTGCTGAGACATGAATTTTGACAATTTTGTGCATGTGTGTCATTTCAGGCACAAATAGATGTGGAAATTAATGGAATTCAATGTTCACGTGCATCTGCGTGGCTCTCTCCGTGACAAAATACTATACAGCAGGGCTCGCAAAATCACTAGCCCGACGTCCCGGGGCTATTGTGTTTTCCAGACGGGCTACCAAAATGTATCACCACTCTGCCCGATGGGCTTTCTTAAATGCAGATCTCCCGCGGGTCCTTAAAAACTCCTAAAGTGAGTTGTATCAAACTTAAGGCCATAAAAGGTTTTAAATACATTGAATGGTATAAGAAATGTCTTAAAGGCCCCATATTGTCAAAACTGAAATTTCCTGGCTTTTTTCATGACAACTAAGGGAACTACACAGTCACCGCCTTCAGTCACCACCCCGAGCACTGCCCAATCGTCCCACCCTCCTTTTGCCAAACCCCCAAACAACATCGTGTCCATGCCATTGCTGAGCAACAACAACAAGGAAACATGTCAAGAAAACGCTGTTCAGTCGATGGATGTCAGGAAACTACATCATTGTACAGGCTTCCGAACTAGGGTTGGGCTGATAGACGATGCCATCGTCCATCGTGATCCTCCCATACCCCCTGCAATCCAGCCGCATCCCAATACCGTATTCGGAAAGAAAATGACGTGTACGACGGAACCCCTAAAGTTAATAAATATGAGATGAGAGGAAAATATATATTTCAGTATTTTCTCTCGCAGTTATATCATTGGGTAATTATACTGTTTAAATTGCAGGCATCAGGCAGGGAGCTGCTATTATGCCTTGCCTGGCATTGAAACCGCTTTTGAATGCACAATTTTAGTTTCACCTTCACTTTCGAGATTCGCGATCGCACGTACTTTGTTTATACTATGGAGCGGCAGTACTTACCACACATTTTACAAGATTAGATGTTTGTCAGAGGTGCTCAGGATCTACAATTTGCCATCGTCCTCAGTCATCTCTCCTTACTCCGTTTATGTGGTAAGTTAAATGTTATGTACTGTAATATAACCAGTGTTGGGCAAGTTACTTCCAAAATGTAATACATTATATATTACTAGTTACTGTCTTTTGAAAGTAATTAGTTACATTACAATATTACTGTCTCTGAATTGTAATGCGTTACACTACTTTTGAGTTACTTTCACCAAAATATCCACAGAAGTATTATAAAATGCCAAAATGTAGTTTATCGCTGCTCATTCTACACCCAGTGAAAGGTAATGTGGTAGGTCTATATAGCATAAAATTATAAAATCATATTTAGATGCCGGTATGTAGGTCTACATTAATGTTACGTTGTAGTTTAGGTTAAACACAGATAAGCAGAAACCGGTAAATAAAGCAAAATGTTATAATGTACAACCAATAAACACAATACCTAACCTATAGGCAATTTTGAACGGTTTCAGAAGAAAACAAGAATGAAAAATATAAGTTGCTAAACAAGCCAAAACTAATTAGGCTAATCAGTGGCGGGGCTTGACTTAAACTTGCTTAGCCCCGGCACAGCCCCCCCAAGGATTTCCTAATGATGTTCCCTTATTTTTGGTGTCACTTTCATTAACATTGAAAAATAAACATTAAAAAATTGCCTAATATGTGGCCTATAAACGATTGATATTATGGGGGAGGGGTCAAGCAAAACAAGCAAGCAACGCGCAAACTGTGCACAAGAGTTATGCCGGTGAACGTCAGTAAATTCACTATAGAGAAAGTGAAAGTAAAAAAACTGACGGAGATTTCTAACGCTGCATTAACGCCGCATATTCTCTGGGACAACAAGAGACAAAATTACTTCAATATAGGCTGATGATGGTAAATTAATATTATGGGCCACCCTTAATATTTCTATTGTGGCCCGTATAGTGAAAAACATGAGAAGAAACGTATTTCGCGTTAAACAGGTTGTTTTTGAAAATCTGTGCATGAAATAAAGCTGCTCTTAATTTTCATTGATGACTGCAGTGTTAATCATTTTAATTATAGGCCTATAATTCAATTGTATAACTTAATAGACCTGTTTAAAAAAACTTTTAAAGGGGTCATATGATGCTGCTAAAAAGAACAGTATTTTGTGTATTTGGTGTAATGAAATGTGTTTATGCAGTTTAAGGTTAAAAAAACACATTATTTTACTACAGCGAGAATAAAAGTTACGCCTTCTTTCTTTGCGTGAACATTTGGGCAGCGTTATGCAAATCTTCCCACATAGCGACGTATACGTGGGGGCATGTTAGAACGAGCCGTTTTAGGTAGGTGTGGCTGACTCTTAACTTTTATAAAGAATATCTCTTTGGATTTGAGACTTTAGTCTTTGCAACTTTACAGATCTTCTTTATGCACCAAGAGCTTGTAACACTCAAAAGAGAAAGGAAATACTGAAATCGTATCATATTACCCCTTTAAAAAACATTTTCAATGAGGAGTAGCCTAAGCTAATAGCCTAAATTAATTATACTCACAGCGCGCCATACGGTAATGCGCTAAAAATTA